CCTGGATCATATATATATATATATGGGGTCGCCCCCCCCAGCCATGACAGACCATGACCTTTCATGAGTCTCAGGCTGCCCAAGACCTTTGAGGTTTCATGGTCTCGGGTCGACAGGTTTAGGGTTTAGGGTTTAAGGGTTATGGTTTAAGGTTTGGGGTTTACAATTTACAATTTAGGGTTTAGGAGGTTAGGGTTTCGGGCGTGAGGTTGTCGAGTTTTTGGGTTTCAGAAGCATATCGAGAGTCTGGGGGATCATTCACCTGTTCCGACCTTTTCCGAACCGAAATCGCTCTGCAAGGTGCCCGTCCCGAGGCATGATCTGTCAACTCAATTCCAAAAAATTCAAAATTCCTCCCCCTAACTTTTCAGTATTGTCAAAGTTCCTCTCCCTAACTTTCCAATAATTCCAACTTTCCAAAACGTTTTTTGATTTGCTGAAAGTTAGAGGGAGTACTTTTGGAAAATTTGAAAATTCGCAACAATTGAAGTGGTGTTTTTATGTGTTAAAAGTCCTCCAAAGCAAACCCTCCCTTTCGGCTCGAGTAGGGGGGTTTGCTTGTGAGGGGATGGGAGCAGTCCAGAGCAAACCACCCCTTTCGGCTCGAGAACGGGGGCTTGCTTTTGAGGGATTGGAGGGGGTTTGCTTTGGAGGGGTTGGGAAGCAGTCTCACAGCCGCCCCATTGCCGTAAGCAACCTGATATGTTAGTATAGTAATATTTTTGTAGATTATAGTCGTTTATTAGCGTAGTAGTATAATAGTATATTCATACATTGATATAGTAGTAAATAAGCATATTGGTATAAGGATATGAAAAATGCTGATATATTGGTATTACTGTACATTTAATATCAATATGACTCAATAGTATTCGTATTGTCATATTCATATTCAATATCAGCCTCAAGTTAAGTGTTAATATTCGTATTAACACTATTCTTAAATTATCAGTGTCAGTGCTCGTATTGGTAACAGTATGTCATGAATAGCCATGAGAGTATGCGAATTAGTATTCGTAGACGTCTTATTTCTTATATTACTATTGGTATTACTTGTAGCATGAATATTGGCAGTAGTATTCGTGACAGTACTAGGATTACTGTTGATATTAATATGACGGTTCGTATTCGCAGCAATATTCGTGTTAGTATTTCTCTTTTGTTTCGCATTAGAATTAATAGTAGCATGAATTTTGATATGAATGTTAGTTCCAGTATCACCGTGACTATGAAGATGAGTGTTCATACGAGTAGTAGTATTCAAATTTAATACCAATAACAGTATCATGTTTAGTACAGATTTTCAGACTTGTATTATATATTGATACAAATCTGAATATTAATCGTGTAGGGATAGTAATCTTAGTATTTGGGTTAGTTTCGCATTAGTATAAGTAATAATCGTAGTATGAATATGACATTAGTGTTTGCCGGAGTATTAATGTTACTATTGCTATTAATACCAATCTTAATTTCAATGTTCGTGTTAATATCAATGTATCTGGCTACTCGGTCCGCCAACCGGCGCTGTCACGGTGTGGCTGGCTGCAAGCACGAAAATGGTTTAATCAGCATTTCGCGTCAGCGACTGGTCAGTCAATGCACATCGAAACTCTCTCTCAGCCTCTGTGCCTGATAACTGCGATCTGGTTTGGCTTCGCTATTCGTCGTCATTGCAGCTGCGCTTACTTGTGCGCCTGGTGCGTGCGTCCTGAGTACGGTGTTTTTGATTGTTCATAGATCTAGCTACTTACATACGATCAGTTCAAGATTGGTGCAAGTTGCCGTGCTTTTCCTGAGGGTTTGAATGTCACAGGAGCCGATGTTGGCCGAGTCACCTGCCAGGAACACACTGTATGTGTACCGCAGTCTGCCATAGTAGGGGGTGAGCCTATCTATCTACATATATATATATATAGATATTTATATTTATATTTATATTTATCATATGTAGTATAATAGTTTATATTATGTAATGCTATATGATATAAAGAAACTTAGCAGAACATAATTTAATCTACAAAGACAAAGTTAAAAAAAAAAGAAAAAACATCGTATAATGTAGTACAATATATTATCTAACATAATCTGGATTATGGAATGTAACATAATAATATTCTATAATTGTACATTTCACATTCAACCACACGATAAAAACATGTAATAAGAGATAACATGACAGCTGCTGTCCACAAAGGCTTTTGAAGCTCGGGAGCTCCGAGGCCTCTATGGGTCCAGGGTTCCGCTAAGACATTCCTTGTCCTTTAAGGGTTCAGTAAAGGGTTCCTTGAAGGCTTCCTTTAGAGGGTTTTGGGGTTCCTTTAAGAGTTTCTGTAAGGGTTTAAGGCTCCTTTAAGGTTCCTTGACTCGGTTTAGGGTTCCCTTACAGGTTTAGGCTTCCTTTAAGGACATGTTCCTTTGGCCCAATCTTGTTTGGGGGAGCTTCTTAGAGCTGTGGTTTGGGTTTAGGTGTTTCGGGAGCTTCTTAGAAAGTAGGGTGCCTTATCTTGGGTCCTCAAATCCAGGTTGGGCTCCTACATTTGCTGAAGCTCGAGACTCACGTAGGCAAAGGCTGGTTCCTATCTACGGTCCTCTGTCTGACATTGAGGACCCGCAAAGGCACCCAGTTCCCAATTTGGAGGAGTACTGTACCTTTTTGCGATTTGCGGCACCCACGATTCGAAAGCCCTACCTGCCAAGAGAGCCATGAGGTTTAGATCCCATGGATGAGAAGACCCGCGTTGAACTTGTGTTGTTCTTTCCCTTAACTACCCGGCCTTACACTGGGCAGGTTTTCAAGATGGTGCGCCGGCTGATCTCTGCCGGGCATGACCCCGCGAAATGGTTGTTGCCAAAGTTGCAGCAGTTCTTCGAGGCTTGCGGCCACCTGCGCTCAAGTAATTGAGGTGTAAATGCTGGACTGCAAGTACCTGCAGTGGATATGTCGGAGTCCTGCTGAGATTCACAACTTGTGTGCAACTCTTTCTTCTGTGTGGTCCGTGTAGTGTTCTCGGGCAATCTCTCTTGAAAGCCACTCGTGTTGCTAAGTGTCCGCTCTGGAGTGCTGTGTGGCCATGGCAGGTTGATGACAAACAGGCTTGTGAGCTGGCGGTGTCTTGCCGCGCCTCCTTACCAGTGGACCACGTTATGTCCACATTGGAGGAGTGTGAGACTCGCTGGAAGCATGAGCAGCTGGGCCAGAACCGGAAGGCCAATTTCAATTGCAGCCATAGAAGCCATAATATAAGCAGGTGAATAGAAGCATGCGTGTCGGGTGTTGTGCCGCTGGCTCACTACTTGCAAGATGCAAGGTACTTGAAGCAGTTGTTCGCACAGGACGAGATTGCTGGCCAAGGTTCCTCACGGCCCTTGTCGTTGTGTTTCGGTGATGGCATGAACACCACATGCCCCTGCAGCAAGTTCATATGGCAGCAGGCTACCACTTGCAGATGGTGGAGCTTTTTGCCGAGTACGCAGCTTGGCACCTTCAAACTGTGCTTGGCACATCCGGGTCCACTTCAAAAGCCTCCGCGTTTACTCCGAGCTGTGACAACCCCAGGCAGGCTTGCAAATCGGTTCTTTCGTGGGAAAGCCTCGGCCCAAATTACTAGGGGGGTAGCATATATATATATATCTCTCTCTCTCTCTCTCTCTCTCTCTCTCGCTCTCTTTATATATATATATATAGATACACACACACACATATATATATATACACACATGTGAGACATGCACATAAAAAGTGATATACGAGCTATACTTTGCCCCAAAGCCGTACTCTAATCATCAACAACGGAAGCACGCCCCGAGGATCCTTCTGGTTTGCAACCGTTCCTCCGGGCCAGCGAGCGCTACCCCTTGGATCAGGCTCCGAGCTGTTTGGTGTTTAGGGCTCTAGGGCTCTAGGTTTTAGGGTTTACGGCGTTAGGTTCTAGAGGGTTCAGGGCTTTAGGGTTCTAGTGCTGGGATTTAGGGTTTGGGGGGACAGTCTCTGGCGATTTGCACAAGTCGAGACGAAAAAAAGGGTTTTAGGGTTTAGGGAAGTTCAGGGCGCAAGAGCCCCAGACTTCGGGAGTTGGTGTCGTGTTTGTGGGAAGAAGCAAACACTTCTCAAGCCAGCTAGTGCCGAAAAAAAAGGGTTTGAACGGCCCGCAGGCCACTTGCAAAAGGGTGTCGGATTTTTCCAAGTTCTTCCCGGAGGTTTGCGATTCTTCCAAGCAAGGAAGCTTGCGGAGTCGTTGAATGACCGCCGCCCTGTAGTTTCACAGATGCGTAGGTGTGCAAGGCTGTTCTTCCTGTTCGACTTTCTTTGAATTGCACCGACAGGCTCTGGAAGTGTGCCAGCGGAAAGGCTTGCGCCAAGCCCCCAGAGAAGAATGTCAGTTGTAGGTCTGTTTGTTCTTGCCCACGCTAACATGCGCAGTGTCGGGTGCACAGCGGGGATCAGAGTTCCGTGCTTACATGGGTTCGCTTTTTTGGTAGACAAGGTCGCTGCTAGAACAAGGCCGGAGCTTTTGTGAGCGAGACCCTTTTCAATCCAGCCAGCTAGTCTGAAGGAGTAGCTGTTTGAGAATTTTCTGGTGTCCCAGATTCGCCTTTCCAGTAATTCCTCCCACTATGCATGGGATACCACCGTTAACAGAGTTGATTGTGTGGTTTTGGTAATCCTTCGACTTAAACTAAACCCTAAGCCAAACCGACGCTGTGCATTGAAGCTGGAGCCTCAACGGCCAGGCGGTCAGACGCCATCGCATGAAGTGAAGCTGACGATTCAGCAGGAGTGGAATAGAGTGGTCTGAATAATACTCATGACTTCTAGTGTCCCTTATGGTCCTTGCACTTATATACTATACCCCCAAATCCGTCTTCCCCTCCGTTCCTCCCGATACATTGTTGAGGTCAAGAAGTTGCATACCTTCTTGGGCGCGCTGGGCGCGTGGCCGACGCACTCAGGCGCGTCACACGTTCAATCGACGAGCCTATTCTGGGTGTGACTTTGGTTCGTCTTGTGGACTAACTCATAAACTTGTGAAGCATTTAAGAGCTTGGCGAATCTGCTGAGCACCCTAAGGCCACAGCTTTAACCTTCGCCCTGAGCGCAACCTCTGCCACGAGCCATACCAGAATCTGCTGAAGCTTTAGAGTTTAGGTTAACCCCAGACCGGGCGGCGAAGCAAGCATCCCGTCGCAACAAGGTTAAGGGTTAAGGGCTTTCGGCCTAAACACTCTCTTACGAGCTCCAAATCCAACAACAGCCTGAAGGGACCGTGCAGTTTCTGCAAACGAAGCCGCCACCATGTCTTGTTTGACAGTCTGCTGATGATCCGACATGCAGAGCGAGGTTATTGTTCACCTAGTTGGGTCCTGCTGCGATCTCCTTTTTGTCGTATCTCCTCGGGGCCCCTAAACCACGCAGAGCTACTCCCGAGGATTTGTTTAAAGTGGATACACACTGAAACTCTACGCCCTGTAAGCCCGAAGCCCTAATAACCTAACAGCTTAAGCCCTAAGCTGACTCTCCAAAATCCTCAGGAGCTAAACCCTACAGCCTCTAACGAAACCCCAAAAGCATTCGGCCGCACACCCTACAGGCTCTAAGCCCGAAAGTCAAGCGCAAAATCCTAAGACGGGAATTAAGTTCAAGAGACAGCAGAGACAAAGGAACTCCCCAAACATTAAACTAACTCAAGCCCAATGAGGGCTTTAAGCTCCAGCAGCACAGAACAGAAAGAGATTCCTCAAGCCCCAAAGAAGCCTCAACCAAAAGCCTCCTTTTGACCCCAAGCCATCAAGCCCTAAACCAATCCAAATGTAGGCCTTTAGGGTTTAAGACCCTAAACCCAAAGAAGCCAGGATCCTTCTGGAGGAGGTGGGCGATGTCCGCCAGGCCGTGGAGTTTGCAGCGGAGACGCAGGCGGCGGGTGCATTCAAGTGCTTTTCCGGTTTGTGGCGTTGTCTTGCAGGACGAACATAGCGGGCGCCGAATTAGTTACAAGGATTGTTCCTTATGGTTTCTCTTTACATGTTTTAACTATTGTAGGTTATGCCCCAGAACTGAAGAAGCCTATTCTACTACCGTGAGGCACCTATAGTAGCAGGAATCAAACAGTACTTACAGAAACATTTAAATGATGTTCATCGTCGTTGTCGTCGTCGTAAGCCGTCGTCGTTGCCGTCATTGTAGCGGCAGCTGTATCAGCAGCAGTACTAGTAGCAGCAGGTGCAGTAGCAGTGGCAGCGGTAGCGGTAGTGGTAGTGCTACTGGTACATTGTGCCGGGAACTTAGAACATTTATTTGATGGAGCCATCTTGGTAATCTTGGCAATCTTACTCAGCCTGGTCATCTCCAGCATTTTGGTAATTTTGGTCATCTTGCCCCACTTGCTCGCCGACTAGTTTACCTTTCGGAGACCGAGATTGCAAGATTGCTTCCCCCTCTTGGCTCGCCGACTAGTTTACCTGTTGGAGACCGAGATTTCAAGATTGCTTGGCAACCTTGCTCCAGACATTGAAATCTTGGTCTAGAAGGTAAACCAGTCGGCGAGACCAAGATTGCAAGATTGCTTGGCACTAAACATGTTCTAAATTCCCGGCACACTGTATTGGTAGTGGACGTCGTGGCAGTGGTAGTTGTAGTGGCAGCGGCATTGGCAGTGGCGGTGGTGGTAGTCGTTTGAGCCTGGGTTTAACAGTTGTAGTAGTCGTCGTCGTAGTTGCAACAGCAGCAGCAGGAGGAGGAGGAGTAGTAGTACTAGTACTAGTA